TTTCTATGGTTTATTGGCGATAAGAGTCTCATGGACTTTCCTGCCCAGGCTGGCTTTGAACCGATCCTCAGATCTCAGCCTCTGGAATAGCTAGGATTACAGGCGTGAGCCACTGGTGCCTGGCCCTTTTTTTTTTTTTGGTCAGTTGTGGGGCTTGAACTCTGGGCCTGAGTGCTGTCCCTCAGCTCTTCAGCTCAAGGCGACCGCTCTACCACTTGAGCCACAGTGCCACTTCCGGTTTTCTGGTAGTTTATTGGAGATAGGAGTCTCACAGTCTTTCCTGCCCGGGGCTGGCTTTGAACCGCAATCCTCAGATCTCAGCCTCCTGAGTAGCTAGGATTACAGGCGTGAGCCACCAGCGCCCGGCTTGTTTTTTTTTTTGTTTTTGTTTTCTTTTGTTGGTCACGGGGCCTGAACTCTGGGCCTGGCTGCTGTCCCTCAGCTCTTTAGCTCAAGGCTAGCATTCTACCGCTTGAGCCACAGCGCTACTTCCGGCTTTTTTTCTGCTTATGTGGTGCTGAGGAATCAAACCCAGGGCCTCATGCATGCGAGGCAACGCTCTACCACTGAGCCACCTTCTTAGCCCGTACTTGCCGGGGTTTTTTTTGGTGGTTAATTGGAAGTAAGAGTCTCGGGCTTTTCTGCCAAGGTTTTAAACCGTAATCCTCAGATCTTAGCCTCCTGAGGAACTGGGATTACAGGTGTAAGCCACTGATACCTGGCAGCTTTCACATTTTTTTTTTTAAAGGAGTTAGAGGGAGACTGTGTTACAGAGATCACAAAGGTCCCATAAAGTCCTAACTTCTGTCCAACACTTATACAAGTTTGCTGATCTTGATTTCATTCAGTCTTCAGAGAGGGCAAGTTGATATAGCAGAGCTTAGCCTCTTTCTAGAGCTCCCCTGTGTGTTTGTTGTCTTGCTCAAGGAAGCAGGGCTCCTCTGTGTGCCAGCCATCTGTCCCTTTGGGCACCTCTCCAGTGCTTATCTCTTTCCCCAGACCTGTGCCCCACCCTGTGATCCCTGTTGCTGCTGCTGCTGTTTTCTCTCTCTCAGTTGTCAACTTGTTCATAGCTCTTAAAGTTAGAGCCAGCATCATCTCAGAGGACCTTGGGTGGAAGTGTGATATGAATAAAGTAGCAGTTTTACCTCGGTGTGACATGCAAGGGTGGGGGGCACTGCCAATAGTGGAGAACCTGCCTGCACGTGCTAGGCCCTGGGTTCCATCCCCAGCACTACAAAAACTAGAATAAAATTAAAACCAAAAAACCAACCAAACCTGGTTCCAGTAACTCATTCCTGTAATCCTAGCTGCTCAGAAGGCTGAGATCTGAGGATTGCAGTTCGAAGCCAACCCAACAGGAAAGCCCATGAGACTCTTTATCTTCAGTTAACCACCAAAAGCCAGAAGTAGAGCTGTGGCTCAAGTGGTAAAGTGCTAACTTTGAGCAAAAAAAAATCTCAAGGATGGGCTGGGAAGGTGGCTCAGTGGTAGAGTGCTTGCCTTGCATTCATGAGGTCCTGGGTTTGATTCTTCAGCACCACATAAGCAAAAAGAAAAAAGCTGGAAGTGGCGCTGTGGCTCAAGTGGTAGAGTGCTAGCCTTGAGGTGAAGAGCTAAGGGACAGCTCAGAGTACACACACACACACACATACCCCAAAACCCAAAAAACAAGGGGTTGCTCAAGTAGTAGACTATTAGCCTACCAAATGCAAAACCCTAAGTTCAAATTCCTGTACCGCCAAAAAGAAAAGTCACCTCTAACTCTCTCCAGGCCTGGGCCTGATGTCTTTTAGACTTGGTAACTGAAAAGTGAATTGCTTTATTACTCTGAGCCTCAGTTTCCACATCTCTAAAATGGAGACACTTAAAGTTCCCTCATGCTGGACATGGTGACACATACCTTAACCCCCAGCTAATCAGGAGGCAGGAGGATTGCTGGAGCCCAGAAGTTCAGAGCCAGCCTGGGCAATTACATTGAGAACTGACTGAGAATAAGTCCTTCCTCATGAATATTGAATGGGTCACAGGAGAGGAACAGTGAGTGTGTGAACTGAGCACTGGTCTGCAGAGCTTTGTATGGTGTGAGTGACAGAAGACAGAGCAGCCTGGGATGTAGCTCAATATGAAAGCACCTATCTAGCAAGTGTGAGGCCCTGGGTATGAGCCTTAGTACCAAGAAAGAAGAGAGGGAAGGAAGGCAGGCAAGCAAAGGACAATTCTGCTTCCAACGGTTCGGCCTCCCTAGTGTTCTGAATTACAGATGTTTAGTACCATGCCAGGTGTTGTTAAGAGTTATTTTTTTTTTTTTCCCTCGGTTCATCATGGGGCTTGAACTCTGGACCTGGGCTCTGTCCCTGAGCTCTTTTGCTCAAGACTAGCACTCTACCCCTTTGACCCACAGTGTTACTTCCAGTTTTCTGGTGGTTGGTTGGAGATAAGAGTCTCATGGACTTTCCTGCCCAAGCTGGCTTTGAACTGAGATCCTCAGATCTCAGCCTCCTGAGTAATTAGGATTACAGGTGTGAGCCACTAGCAGTACCTTGCTTTTGATTTTTAAAAATTTAGACTTAGCTGCTAACTTTGGGCTTCAGTTTCCTCATCTGTGTAACTACAGTGACAGCATTGCATCCCTTAAGGCTGTTTGAGTATCAGAGAGAAAACGTGACCGATCTCTAGAGCAGAGCCCAGCCTCTGTGAGAAGGGCAGCAGCAGACCCCAATGGGGTTTCTGTAGACACTTGTTTACGTGCAGGATCATTTCCGCCTCCACAGTCCTTTGAGGTAGACAGACAGTCATTATCGTCCCCTTCAGGGGTAAGAAACATGCAGTCACTTGCCAGTGGTTACTTACCCAAGCACACAGGCAGAGGCGGTCAGGCAGCCTGCCCACTGGTGCTGTATTTTCAAAGCAGGACTTGGTTGTATTTTTTTAAAAAAAAAAGACAACTGGTGGGATTCTGATCTTTCAGAAGTAACCAATAGACCAGTGTCTTGTTCCCATGCCCGTGTAAGAAATGACTTTCCTCCCTATGAGTGGATGTGCCCAGTGTGTCTGGGACTGGGTGGGAACAAGGAGCTTGAGTGGTGGGGGTAGGGGGGAGGGAGCAGAAAGGTTCATTGCACCCCTGGTTGGAACTTGGTTTTATTCTAAGCTAGGGGGAAGTCATTAAGGTTAGGGTGGAGACTTCTGCAGCCATCCAGGTGATGAGACAGGCTAGGACCTCGATGGCGCAGTAGCAGGAAGAGAATGGGCAGCTTGGAGAGAGAGAGCGCATTGGTTATGGAGATGACCAGTTTTGATCCTATAGGGGATGCAGGGTCAGATGCAGAATTCTGGGTGATTTTTGGGCTGGAGAAGGGCGTGGCTTAGTCACTGATGGGGAAGACTAGGGAGAAACAGGTTTAGGGGAGATTTCATCTTGGCTATCTGAGATATATATATAGATATAGATAGATATCTATATCTATATCTATATATTTGCTAATATTGGGACTGGAACTCAGAGCCTGGGTGCTATTTCTGAGCTCTTTTGATCAAGCTAGTGTTCTACCATTTGAACCATAGCTCCACTTCTGACTTTTTGTGGTTAATTGGAGTAGAGTCTCTGGGACTTCCCTGCCTATGACTTCAAGCCGTGATTCTCAGATCTCAGTCTGGGTATCTGGATAGAAAGTTTGGGGAAGAGTTGTGTTAGAGCCCAGGGCAGAGGGCAAAGGCCTGGCCTCAGCTGTGTAAGAAGGGCCAGCAGGTTTAGGGGAGGGTTTAAGGCACAGGGCAAGCTGAGGGGAGAAGAAGATGGAACCTGGGGCTTTGAAAGTTAAAGAGGAAGAGGGAGGTAGAGGATCCAGCTCTGGAAACCAAGGGGAAATGGCCACAGAGGTAAGAGGAAAGCAGGCTTATGGAAACCCAAGTGGAGCAAGGTATTTCAGCAAGAAAAGCATAAACAGCATCATCAGGTCCTGCTTATCTGACTTGGGGGTCCAGAACTAGAACTGGGGGTAGGGGTGAGGGTGGGGGATGAGGCCAGGGAACTGAGCTGCAGCAGCATGTGCTGACTCAGTGGCTTGCTGGGGACAGAACCTAGATTAGACTGAAGAGTAAAGAGAACGCACAGGGAAGTGGGGAGGAAAGGGATGGTAGGGGAAAAACAAAGGAGGAGGTAACAATACTCCATAGAAAAAGTACTCATTCCCTTACTCATATACCTGTAACCCCTCTGTACAGTATCTTTACAATAAAAAATATATACAAAAAAAAGAGGGGGCTGGGAAGGTGGCTCAGTGGTAGAGCGCTTGCCTTGCATGCTTGAGGCTCTGGGTTTGATTCCTTAGCACCACATAAGCAGAAAAAAAAAATCCGGAAGTGGCACTGTGGCTCAAGTGGTAGAGTGCTAGCCTTGAGCTGAAGAGCTGAGGGACAGCGCCCAGGCCCAGAGGTCAGGCTCTACGACCAGACCCAAAAATAAAAAATAAAAATATAAGGAAGGGCCTGGGAAGGTGGCTCAGTGGTAGAGTGCTTGCCTCACATGCATGAGGCCCTGGTGGGTTCAGTTCCTCAGCACCACATAAGCAGAAAAAGCTGGAAGTGGTGCTGTGGCTCAAGTGGTAGAGCACTAGCCTTGAGCTCAAGAGCTGAAGGACAGCGCCCAGGCTCAGAGTTCAGGCCCTATGACGGACCAAAAAAAAAAAAAAGAGAGAGAACACATATGGGCTTTCCCAAGCAGAAAAAATGGGCCAGTAATTGGACAGGGTCAGAGGTCAGGTATATTTTATGCACTTACATGTGATAAAACACACAAAAAATACCATCTTAAACTTTTTTTTAATAGTAGCATTGCAATGTGAATGAGATATCATAGTTTTGATTTGTATTTCCCTATAAGTGTTATTGACCATCTTTTCATGTGTTTAGCAAGACTCTGTACCTAATTCTGCATTTATTTCTGCTATGTGTGTGTGTGTGTGTGTGTGTCTGTCTGTCTGTCTGTCTGTCTGTCTGTCTATCTGTCTGTCTCCTGGAGCTTTTAGGTACTGTCTTTGAGCTTTCTTTTTGTCAGTTGTAGGGCTTAAATTCTGGGCCTGGGTGCTGTCCCTGAGCTTTTCAGCTCAAGGTAAGCATTCTACCTCTTGAGCCACAGTGCCACTTCTGGCTTTTTTCTTTTTGCTTATGTGGTGCTGAGGAATTGAACCCAGGGCCTCATGCATGCCAGGCAAGCGCTCTACCACTGAGCCACCTTCCCAGCCCCAATTTAACATTTTTTATGAAGTTTAATTTGTCTGGTTTTCCTTGTGCCTCTAATGTTCTATCCAAAAACTCATGGCCAGATCAAATGTTATTAAGACAGTCTTACTGTGTAATCAGGGTGGCCTCAAACTCAGATCCTACTTCAACCGCCCAAATAATGGGATTATAGATATGAGCCACCAGACCCATCTAGCCTCAGTGTCTCTTGATAGGGTCTCTTTTTCTGCCCAAGTGCACACCTGAACTGCAATCCACTTCGTTTTCAGTTGTAACTAGGAGACAGGTGCTGCCTCACCCACCAATTGGTTGAGAAAAAAATCTTGTGGAATTTCTTCCCAGTCTAGACTTGAATCTTATCCTCCTCATCTCAGCTTCCCAAGTGACTGAGTTGTTATTGGGTTATTGCTATAGTTTGGTTCTTGAGTTTGAACACTCAGGCCTTTATGCTTGCTTGGAGGCCACCCTGCCACTTGAGCCCTTTTCCCTAGTTATTTTTGCTTTTTATCTAAGACATCCTAGATTTTTGGCTGCCACTTCCTTCAATAGCTGGTGTGTGTGTGTGTGTGTGTGTGTGTGTGTGTGTGTGTGTGTGTGTGTGTGTGTGTGTGTGTGTGATCACATCTGGCTATTGGTTGAGATGTGTTGGCAGTGAGGGGGTGTGTCTCATAAACTGTTTTCCTTGGGATATCCTTTTTTTGGGGGGGGGTCCTGTCGTGGGGCCTGAACTCTGGGCCTGGGCGCTGTCCCTCAGCTCTTCAGCTCAAGGCTAGCATTCTACCACTTGAGCCACAGCGCCACTTCTGGCTTTTTTCTTATGTGGTGCTGAGGAATCGAACCCAGGGCCTCGAGCATGTAAGGCAAGTGCTCTACCACTGAGCCACCTTCCCAGCCCCATCCTTGGGATATCCTTGAACCACAATCCTCCCTTTCTCTGTTTCCCAAGTACTAGGATTACAGCTGTGTGAGCTACTGATACTCAGCTCCTTCTTGTATGAGTGTTCTTTTAAATAGTTTGACGTCTTTGATCCACTTTGAATTTAACTTTTTTTTGGGGGGGGTCTGGTCGTGGGGCCTGAACTCTGGGCCTGGGCGCTGTCCCTCAGCTTTTCAGCTCAAGGCTAGTATTCTACCACTTGAGCCACAGCCCCACTTCTGGCTTTTTTCTTTTTGCTTATGTGGTGCTGAGGAATCGAACCCAGGGCCGCATGCATGCAAGGCAAGCGCTCTACCACTGAGCCACCTTCCCAGCCCCTGAATTTAACTTTGTGTATGGTGTTAGATGAAGGTCTAACTGGATGGGGTTCCCAGTTTCCTGGAACCATTTGTAGAAGGCTTGTCCCTTAGGGGAGGTTGCTTTTGAAAAGTGAAGTGACCAGGTGTGTGCTGTGCAAGTGACCTTTCCAGTGAAGGAAGGCAAGCAAGTGGTGCAGGCAGTGAGGGCATGCCTTTTACCTTGAAGGTGAAAGGGGTGGGCATGGTCTAGAAACTGGCATGGATTTTGAGAGGAGGGCACTGTAGCCACTGGAGGGCACAGGAGATAGCAGGAGAAAGAGACTGCCATTCTGTATTGAGCAGGTGGGAGAGGGCAGTGTACAGTCATCGGGAGAACTGAGAATGGGGTGTGGCCCCTGTCTGTTTTTCTGCAGCTCTAGCACTGACTCCTCAGCAATCCCTGCCACCTGCAGCACCATCCCTTGTCCCCTTGGAGGCCACCGACAGCATGCTGGAGCTGCCACAGCCACTTCTGCAGCAGACCGAGGACCAGTTGCTGTCCCCAACCCTGGCCTGCAGCTCCCCTTTGATTAGCTTCTCCCCGCCCTTGGACCAGGAGGACTACCTCTGGGGCCTGGATGGGGGCGAGGGCATCAGTGACCTCTTCGACTCCTATGACCTTGGGGACCTGTTGATCAACTGAGTGACCCTGTCTGTCCCCAGCAGACCCCCCCCCCACCTCTACCTCCTCACAGACTGACAGGGGACCTTGGACACAAGGTACTGCCCTCAGGGTATGAGGTCTCCTCTCCTTTCCAACTTCCCTGGCAGAAGCCAGCTGGGCCATGTGGAGATGGGTGAGGAGCATGTCAGGGGTTGGGGTCTTGTTCTTCCTCTTCTGACCTCTGACCTTTCACATGAAGGACCACAGGTACAGGTGACCATGTTCAGGGAAAGGCCCTGCCCCTCCTTTTGAGAGGCAAGTAGGGCCCTTGATTTTCCAAGAAGCACTTAATACCTTTGTATTTATTTCAGGTTGAATTTTTTTATGTTCTCCCTGAATTTTAGCAGGGAGATTGTTCTAGTTTCTAGCAAGCCTTCTCCTCAGACAGGCTCATCTCTGCCCAACTGTCCAAGGGTAGAGCTGGGCTTCCAGAAGCGCAGCTCCCCACAGAGTGACAGCAGGGTCTGTGAAGGGGCCCGCCCAGTTTGCTAGAATGTTAATTGCACTTAGGCCTTATAATTCTAGTATGTGCCAGGCCCTTTTTCCTTTCTAGAGCTCAGTCTGGCATCTCCAGCGAAGTGTCAGCCTGGGATCCCTGGTCTCCATCCCAGAGGTTCTAGTAGTTTCCTTGGGGAAGGCATCATGTAGGTTCCTGTGGAGATGGGAGCATGTAGTTCAGGTGACTCCTGTCTGATGGAATTCCTTACCTCTCCCTTGCCTTAGAATGTAAAAGCCCTCTGGGGACTTGCAGAGAGAGCTCCTGACAAAACCAGATGTTCAGGGGCATCCATCTTGGCTGCAGAGGGCACCTTGCCCTTATCCCTTATTACAAGGTTGAGGTAAAAACAGGAAGTGCTTCCAGGAGCTGCTCCTGCTTTCTTGGGAGGACTTTTTTTTTCCTTTCTTTTTTGGCCACGGTTGATTCTTTAAGGATTCCCAGTCTACCTCCAAGCTCTCACACAGACCTCTGAGGACAGAGGTGACAGGGCTTTGGAGTGTGGAGAGCGTTAACAGAAAGTGTCTTCACTGCAAACCAGGCCTTGACAGTTAATTATGGGCTCGTGTTAACTTCTTTAGCTTTGGGGGTATGGGCAGATTCTTTAGTGTCACCCCTTTTCCACAGGGAATGACCACCCATAGTATTCAGTACCCTTAGCCCAGCTGGGCCAGGGATTCAGCTCTGCTCACCTTCTAGAGAGGCACCCAGGGGTGAGGGTCTAAGTGGCCTCTCACCTACCCTCAGGGAGCTGGGTTCCTCAGAGGCTCCATTGGGCAGCACTTTCTTTTGTTTGTTTATAGCATTAAGTTGATTTAAAATATGAAGTTGTCTGGTTGGGTTGATCCTGGGCTGACTGGCTGACATTTTGAAGTTTGGAATGTGGGTTTTTGTTGGAGGTGTGGCCATTTGGGAGCTGATGTCCAACTGAGAAGGGTCATGTAGCCCCCTCCTAGGAATAGCCAGCAGCTCGAAGACGCTCCCACTTAATTTCATATGCTTCATAGAAATGACTTTGTAGTCTCTTCACACACACTTGGGGGTCTCATTAGAAGTCTACTTTGAAACCCAGAATGCTGTTGGCTTTTGGGTGAGGATGGGGCTGTTGGAAGGGATCTGGTCTGGAGCAAGTGGGGTGTTACTGCTCCGGGGTTTCCATTTCACTTTGAACCAACACAAAGCAGAGATGCTTGGCTTTTATACCTTGGACTCTGTCTGGAGATGTCTTTGAACTTCATTGGAAGAAAGGGAGAAGAGGCCTGCAGAACCCATCTGGAATAAGTTTTAATGCTAAGTCTGGCTAAATTTCAAGCTCTTTCCCCAAAGATGCAACCATAGGGCTGGACAGGGCCTTCATGAACAGCTGTCTCCTCCAAACCCTCCCTGGCCACGGGGCCAGATCCCCTAGATTCAGCCTTTGCCTCAGGTCTCTTTCTTGACAGTGATACAAGACCTCCCAGGTTCATAGACTGCTATAAATATACCATTGTGAATGGTGTTTCCTTTAGGGGTCATGTGAACTTCAGTGTAGTAGAGAGATGGTTTCTTCTTTCTAAGAGAAATGATTTCTACTGGGCAATTTCGCAGCCCCATTAGCAGCCCCCAAGTCACTTGTCCCCAGGGACACCAACTAGTAGCATGAAGTTGTTAGCAGAGTTCAAAGTTTCTTAACATCACTGAAGATTCCAGAACATGCCTTCTCCTTGGTGGCTCCTTCTCCTCCTCTTTCTCCCCAGTGTTGCCATCAGCTAGTGTGGCTATAGGCAAGGGGGAGATGGGGAAACTTGCAAACTGGTTCGAGTTTGTTTCCCCTCCCCATGTGGTCTCCACCTCCCTTTCCTTCCACACAGTGTTCAGTGTTGTAATGAGTTTGGGTGTGCCAGCATTGAGGTGTATGTGGCTTAACGCATTTGAAGTGAAAACCTTTGGGATTGGTTGGAAACAGCTTTGTGATTCTGTTGTATCCAAAGGTCCCACTGTATTGTGAGAACCTGTTCTTCTACAAGGCCCCCTCAGTAACCATGGTGTCCAGTAGCCCAGACAGCCAGCTGGCTCCTGAATGGGTGAGATGAAGAAGCCTGGCACGAGTTATTGGTCTCGAGGGTGAGGTGGCCCCAGGGGAACCTAGACTCTGTATAGGGACCCCATGTTGGCCAAACACCCATAGTCTGGTTTCACTTTTAAGTCCTGCCTTGGTAAGCACCAGCTGGGCCTCCTCCTTGTGTTGTGATACTTGGGCATTAAAACCATGGTAGCTCCTGTTTTCTTGTCTTTGTATTTATTTTTTATTTGTCATCCTCCCCATGCACATACCACTGTGGTAGGGATGGAACTGAAGACCTTATGCTTGTTTCTCTCTCTCTCTCTCTCTCACACACACACACCCCTTACCACTGAGCAACACCCCAGCCCTGTGGTGCACTCTGAATGACATTCATCATTAACTGTGAGTCTGATTTCCCCCTGAGAAGCCACCTCCTTTCCCTGTTTTGGCTTATTGCCATGCTTGGAAGTTAGCAGCACCCAGAGTCATGCTTGCCTGCCTCTACCACCTCTCACAGGACCACGGCAGTTGTTTTCTATGAGGCTTCCATCTCATTCACAAAGTGAACTCCTAAGATCAGCAATATCAGCATCACTTAGGAACAGAAAAATGATTAGGTCTAACAATGGAAGTACTATTCAGCCTTAAGGAATAAAGTATTTTGAGCATCATGAAGTAAAAAGAACCAGTCACAAAAGATCACATTGTATGATTCCATTGATATGAAATGTCCAGAATAGTATAAGTTTTTGTTTTTGTTTTTTTTTTTTGCCAGTTGTAGGGTCTGGGTGCTGTCACTGAGCTTCTTTTGCTCAAAGCTAGTATTCAACCATTTGAGCCACAGCTCTACATCCAACTTTTTAAAAAAATACTTTGTTGGAGATAAGAATCACGGGCTGGGAAGGTGGCTCAGTGGTAGAGCGCTTGCCTTGCATGCCTGAGGCCCTGGGTTCGATTCCTCAGCACCACATTAGCAAAAAGAAAAAAGCTGGAAATGGGGCTGTGGCTCAAGTGGTAGAGTGCTAGCCTTGAGCTGAAGAGCTGAGGGACAGTGCCCAGGCCCAGAGTTCAGGCCCCACGACCGGACCCAAAAAAAAAAGAATCTCACAGCCTGGCAATGTGGCTTGGTAGAGTGCTTGCCTAGCAGCATGAAGCCCTGGGTTCCATTCCTCAGTACTACATCAACAGAAAAAGCTCGAAGTGGTGTTGTGGCTCAAGTGGTAGAGTGCTAGCCTTGAGCAAAAGCAGCTCAGGGACAGTGCCTAGACCCTGAGTTCAAGCCTAAGGACTAGCAAAAAAAAAGTCCTAAACTTTCCTGCCCTAGCTGGCTGTGAACTATGATCCTCAGATCTCAGCCTCCTGAGTAGCTAGGATTACACGCAGGAGCACTGGCACCTGACTGGGATGTGTGATTTTTATGGACAGAAATGCAAAAATTTTAAAAAATGCAAAAATCCTCAACAAAAATGCTAGAAGGTCAAATCCAGGAGCATATAAATAGAATAGGGAATAGATAGGGAATTTATACCAGGAATGCAAGGTTGGTTTAATGTCCCAATATCACCTGATGTAATATACCATATCAGAATAAGACAAAAGTCACATCACTGTTGATGTCAAAAAAAAGATAAAGCTCAACACTCTTCATGACTGTTAAGAGACCAGTTCTTACAGTTTTCCAGGTTGCCCTCAAATTGCTGGGCAAAAGCAGTTCTGCTTCATCTTTCAGGGATCATGGGTACACACCACCAAAGCCAGTTTCCTCATGATGTTAACAGAAAACCTTAACAAAATAGGAATAGAAAGCAACTTTTCAATCCTAATAAAGAACATAAATGAGAAACTCATAGTGTCACAATGTTCCTCCCATAGGATCAGAAGCATGACAAGGCAGGCCACTGCATTCCCATTCAGCACTGTACCCCAAGTTCTAGCCAAGATGATTAAGCTATGCAAATGGGGGTGGAAGAGATCCAGATTGACAGGAAAAAATCAAAACTATGTTCAGGTAACACAATCTTGTATGTAGAACAGTCTTAAGAAATTAATAAAAGCAAAACTAATGAATGAGTAAGGGTTTAAGATACAAGATAAATATACAGCAATCAGTTGTGTTTCTATATATTGGCAATGACTAACCTAAAAATAAAATATAATAATTTTTTTTTTGTCAGTTGTAGGGCTTGAACTCTAGGACTGGGTGCTGTCCCTCAGCTCTTCAACTTAAGGCAAGTGCTCTTCCACTTACGCTACACCTCCACTTCTGGTTTTCTGGTAGTTTATTGGAGATGAGTCTTGGACTTTCCTGCCCAGGCTGGCTTTGAACAATGATTCTCAGATCTCAGCCTCCTGAGTAGCTAGGATTACAAAAGGTTGCCACTGGTGTCCAGCAAAAAGAAAAAAAGCCATTTATAATGCACCAAAAATCTTAAGAATTCTTAGGATTAACTAACAAAAGTAAAAACAGTTTCCTCCTCCCTCCCCCCCTTTAAAAAGGACAAGCACTGGTAATCCTAACTACTCAGGAGGCTGAGATCTGGAGATTTCAGGTCAAAGCCGGCCCAGGCAGGAAAGCTCATGAGGCCCTTATCTCCAATTAGCCACCAAAAAGCTGGAAGTGGAGGTATGGCTCAAGCGGTAGAGTGCTGCCATCTTGAGGGGAAAAAAAAGAGCTAAGGGACAGTGCCTCGGCCCTGAGTTCAAGACTCAGTACTGGCACTAAAATGAAAGAAGGAAGCCAACATCTGCTCAAAGCTCATAAAATCAACGACTTTGCTTCCTTGAACAAAGGTCAGTCATTTATCAGACGTTATGGGGGTCATAAGTACCACTCCTTCCTTGATAGAAGTATGAACCTGTTTCAAATTTTCTTCCTCCTGGGGTTGGCCAAGAGTTGATAGGTATATCCCTGCACCAGACCCATTGTCATCGTGGGGCTTGAACTCTGGGCCTGGGCACTGTCCTTGAGTTCTTCAGCTCAAAACTAGTGCTCTACCACTTGAGCCACAGTGCTACTTCTGGTTTTCTGGTGATTTATTGGCGATAAGAGTCTCAAGGACTTTCCTGCCCAGGCTGGCTGTAAACTGTGATCCTCAGATTTCAGCCTCCTGAGTAGCTAGGATTACAGGTGTTAGCCACTGGTGCCCAGCTTCCACAAACACTTTTTTGAGTACCTCTATCTGCCTGTCCCTGTGAAGGGGGAAGGGTTAAGGGAAAGAACTCCAAAGGACCTTATAGCAAATTATAATTCAAAACAGTTTACGGACTTGCCTGTTTGTTGAGCCTCTGTGCTAGGCTCTAATTTCAGCATTCATTAGAAGCACCTAGAAGGCTTGGTGAGACAGATCCCTGGGCTCCATTGCCAAATGACTGGGAAGATGATGATGATGATGATGATTGCAGTGCTAGGGATGGAAGTGAGGGCTTCTAGATATTTGACAGGTGTGCTACCAGTGAGCTACACCATCGGCCCCACCTCTTGAGCTGATTTAATCCTGTGGGTCCAGGCGTGCACCTGCAAATGCATTTGCAAGGACCCCTAAGGTAATGGTGAGAACTCCACTTGGTGAGCCACTGTTGCAGACAACACATCACTGCTGAGATTCAGGCATCACAGTGGAATTTAGAAGGAAAATAATCCTTGCTCTGGAGGTGCTTACAGCAGTGGGTCATGGTAGGTATTGATCCATTTGTTCATTTCTTTGGCAAGCTAGAGCCATCATTTTAATTTCCAGGAAAACTTTACCAAGTGTTTTTGGCTTTTTTTTGTACTTACTGCTTAATTGGCCCTATCTTTTTGTTTTTTTGTGTTTTTGTTTGTTTGTTTTTGGTTGTGGGGTCTGAACTCTGGGCCTGTCCCTCAGCTCTTCAGCTCAAGGCTAGCACTCTACCATTTGAGCCATAGCATCATTTCTGGCTTTCTCTACTTATGTGGTGTTGAGGAATCGACCCCAGGGCCTCATGCATGCAAGGCAAGCACTCTACCACTGAGCCACCTCCCCAGCCCCAAATGGCCCTATCTTTAATAAGGAAATAGATCCAGGAAAGTTAGGAACATGCACAAGGTCAACCAGTAAGTGATGGAACCCAGGTGTGGGTACCTAAGACTCCTACTCTTAATCTCTTGTGAAATTTTATGTAAAAGCTGAGTGTGGTGGCTCGTGCCCAAAATCTCAAACTTGAAAGACTGAGCTTCAGGCAAAATCCTATCTCCCAAAAATAAAACCCAGTGTGAACTAGAGTGTCACAGTAAATCCTGGTTCACTGGTTTCCAGGCTTTGCCAGTCCTTGAGTGTCACAGTGCATAGTAATCAGCATGTCTGGTGTATCTGTGTGCCAGAGGCCATGTTGGCCAGTCAAGATCACATGTCTCAGTGTGTGATCCCCCAATCAAAGGACTCCCTCCCCCCCCCCCATTGGTTGTGGGGCTTGAACTAAGGGCCTGGGCACTGTTACTGAGATCTTATGCTCAAGGTTAGTACTCTACTACTTTGAACTATAGCGCCACTTCGTTTTTGAATGATAATTGGAGACAAGAGTCTCACAGGGATTTTTATGCTCATGCCTGCTTTGAACTGCAATCCTCAAATCTGAGTAGCTAGGATTACAGGTATGAGTCTGGCTCTTGGTTAACTCTTGGTTGGCCTGTGAGGAAGCTGGTTATTCTCCCAGTGTGGGCAGTGCCCTCTGGTGGCCACTTTGCCAAGTACAGAAACTAGAGAAGCTACCCTTTATGGTGATCTCATTAAGTACTGTTTCATTATAGTTAATTCATTAAAAAATATATTTTTTGGTGCTGGTACTCAGAGTGTTCCACTCTCCCTAGGCTTTTTCATTGAAGGCTGGCACTACCACTTTAGGCACACCTCTACTTTGGGCTTTTTGTTGGTTAAAGCCCAGGAGGTAAGAGTCTCCTGGACTTTACTGCCTGTTCTAGCTTGTGATCCTCAAGATCTCAGCCTCCTGAGATGTTACGATTTACAAGCGTGAGCCTGGCTAAATTTACAAATTTTTGTTGAGCACCTAATAGGAGGGCAGATTCTTGAGATAGAATTTTGTGGTGCTGGGAAGGTGGCTCAGTGGTAGAGTGCTTGCCTTGCATGCCTGAGGCCCTGGGTTCGATTCCTCAGCACCACATAAGCAAAAAGAAAAAAGCATACTTTGTTGGAGATAAGCAAGTGGTAGGGCGCTAGCCTTGAGCTGAAGAGCTGAGGGACAGCGCCCAGGCCCAGAGTTCAGGCCCCACGACCGGACCCAAAAAAAAAAAAAAAAGAATTTTGTTCCTTTTGTTGAACACCCGCAAGGTACACTTTTCTTATTTATTCACTATAGTGGCAGAGTAAAGTCCTCATTCTCTAAAGATGTCTATATCTTATCCCCCCAGAATCTGTGCATGTAAAATGCTAACTGGCAACAGAAAATTAAGATTGCAATTGGGGTGGGTGCCAGTGGTTCATGCCTGTAATCCTAGCTATTCAGGAGGTTGAGATTTGAGGATCTTGGTTTGAGGCCAGCTCAGACAGGAAAATTCTTAAATCCAATTAACTACTATAAAGCCAGAAGTTGAGCTGTGGCTCAAGTGTTAACCTTGAACAAAATAAAGTTCAGGGGCAGCACCCAAGCCCTGAGTTCAAGTCCCAGTATTGACACATACGCCATACACACATACACACAACCGAAGTTCTAAATAATTTTGCTAAGCAACTGCCCTTCTAAGGGGAAGATTACCCTGGATTAACTTTTCCCCCAAGTTAATCACAGTCTTATAAGCAAAAGAGATGAGAATCAGTATCAGAAAGAGATGAGCTGGGTGCTGGTGGCTCAGGAGGCTGAGATCTGAGGATCTTGGTTCAAAGCCAGCTTTGACAGGAAAGTCCATGAGATTCTAATTAACCACCAGTGGCTCAAGTGGTAGAGTGCTTGCCTTGCAGAGCTCAGGGACAGCACCCAGGCCCAGAGTTCAAGCCCCACAACTGACAAAAAAAAAAAAAAAAAAAGATTTGAGCCAGGCATGGTGGTACATGCCTCTAATCCCAGCATTCAGGAGATAGAAACAGGAAGATAATGAAGAGATCCTGGACCCTGTCAGAGAGACAGAAAAAGATACAGAGATAGAGGAGATGCTAGATTGCTGGCTTTGAATAAAAAGAGAAAGTCATGAATCAAGAGATGCAGGCAGCCTCTAGGTGTAAAAATAAAGAAATGACTTCTTCCCTAGGGCCTCTAGAAGGATCACAGCCACACGTATACCTTGTTTTTCTCCTGGTCAGACCCATTTCATACTTCCGGAACTACAAGATAAATCTCCAGAAATCAGTGCACACCTGTAGTCCAAGCTACCCAGGAAGGAGCCAGATGTAGGAAAATCCCTTGAGTTGCTCAGAAGTTCAGAGCTAGCCTGGGCAACACATTTAACATACCTATTTCCATGTACTCACCAAACACCTCCTTAGAAAGTTCTAACCTTTTGCAGGTTCACAGGCCCTTTGGGAATCTGATGACAACTGTTCTTGTACTCTGCAGATGGGGCACCCCTTCCCCCACCATCTTCACCTGAAGCTTGCGCCCCTAGTGGGCACTCAGAGCTACTGCATCCAGCATTGGGCTTAAAAGGCACCACCCACCGCTAGGGGGCTCCGTGGTGTAGGACAATTCACATTCCCCTCTCAAGGGAATTTTAAGAGTTGAGTGTCTGCTAAGGTTAGTGTCTGCTGGTGGATTGAACTGAGGGAATGTGCCCTGGAGTGCAGCTGTGTTTGGTCCTTGGGTACTTTTCAGTTCTTGTTGGGTGGCAAACACCTTGCAAAACTTGAGGTCAGAGGCTCATGGGACTAGCAGAGGTTGGGAGTGGGGCTATAACACACAGAACAGGGAATGAACGGAGCTAATTCTGAGACGATTGTATGTGATTGGGCTTAGAAGAGTACCTGCATATAGTAAATCTTGGGCTAGGTAATGTTGGCTTGTGCCTGTAATTCTAGCTACACGAGAGGCTGAGATATGGAGAATGGTGGCTTGAGCAGCCAGAGCAGAAAAGTTCAAGAGACCCAATCTTGAAAATAACTGGCAAAATCAGGGCTAAAAGTGAGGTTTAAGTGGTAGAACATCAGCCTAGCAAGTGAGAAGCTCTCAATTCGATCTCTAGTACCACCAATTTTTTTTAAAAGGGAAAGTCTTTGATAAACATTTTCATTGTCATCTTCCGTCCTAGGACCCCCTTCTCCCCAGTCCCCTTTATAGGAACTGTGGTGGTCCCCAGTTGCGCAGATGGATTGACATACATACTTTCACCTAGTTTCTTTTTAGGCCTTTTTTTTTTTTTTTTGCTGGTACTAGGTCTTTAACTCAGGGCTTCTGCTTGCTGGGCAGGTGTTGTATCATTGTGCTCCCTTTTTACGTTAGTTTTTTTTTTTCCAGTCATGGGACTTGAACTCAGGGCTTGGGTGCTGTCCCTGAACTTTCTTGCTTAAGACTAGCACTCTACGACTTTGAGCCACAATGCCACTTCCGGTTTTCTGGTAGTTAATTGGAGATGAGTCTCAAGCACTACCCTGCCCAGGCTGACTTTGAACCGTAATCCTCAGATCTCAGCCTCCTGAGTAGCTAGGATTATAGGCCTAAGCCACCTGCACCCTGCACTTTAGGTTATTTTTTTCCAGATAAGATCTTGAGCGTTTTTACCTGGACCCAGCTTCATATTGCCATCTTCATATTGCCAGCTTCATATGACCAGTGGTGCGCCACCACATCCAGCTTTATTGTTTGAGATGAGGGGAAATCCCTCTGACCTCAGATTGTGACCCTCCTGATACCTGTAGCTGATATTGCTGTTCTGAGCCATCCCCCAGCCTCCCTCAGTGCTTTATCTGGGGGGTGCATGGAAGCACTTCGGGCTATGGGAGGGAGACTAAACCATCTTGGGGCAGAGGGAGCTTCCTAGAGTCACGAGCTGGAAAGGAAATGGTCAAGCATAGAAACTGGAAAAGCAATGCAGGTGGAAGGGACAGCCAACGCAAGGGCAGACAGGTGGGAGTTTTGTGCCCTCAGTAACTGCAGGGAGGTTGATTTTTCTCCTGAGAGACTGCAGAGGCAGATGGGGTTAGATCAGGAAGAGATCGTGGCCGAGCAAAGGAGCCTAGACCTGATCCTAAGCGTGAGGAACCCAATTTGCATCCCTTTACCCTTGGGAATCTTCTCTTTTGTCCTGGAAACCTGAACTCCCCACTCTAGGGGAGAGCCTAGACGTTAAGGTCCGGGGCGAGGAGACCAGGTGGCTGGGGCCAGGCCGGGAGCGAGGGGGCAGGGGAGGGGGGGCGCGGCCCAGCGCTGTGCAGCCGAGAGAGGCCGGAGTCCGAGGCGGGGCTCGGATGGGACACCAGCGGGCCACAGCGAGCCTCGCGAGGCGGGGGAGGCGCCCGGCGGACGAGGGCGGAGCCTCTCGGGCCGCGAGGCTGGAGGCCTCGGGGCGCGGCCGGGGAGTTCGGGTGGGAGCCGCCAAGGCTGGAACAGCTTGGGAGCGGGGCCCAGAGGGGAAAGGCGGGAGTTGTGCCAGGAGAGGAGGGGCGGGCTCTTATGACTCCAGAGCCCTTGGGGGCGGGGCCGAGGAGGAGCCGAGGGCGGAGCCAAGGTGAAGAGAAACGCTGAACTGTCCGGAGCGAGGGCTGGGGGCAAGGATACAGAAGAGGCGTGGTTGTATCGGCGGGGCGTGGAGGGTCGGGACGTACCACGAAGGCCTGGGCGGAGCGCGCGAGAAGAGGGGGCGTGGCCTACGAGAGCGGCGTGGAGGGGCCGGGGCCGGGACTGCGGAGGCCTGGGCGGAGCGCGCAGGAGGAGGGGGCGTGGCCCACAGGAGCGGCGTGAAGGGGGCGGGGCTGCGGAGGTCTGGGCGGGGCGCGGAGGGATAAGAGGCGTGGCTTGGGCGAGGCGGGGAGGGTCCGGGGGCGGGGTGTGCGGAGGCCCGGACGGGACCAGCAGCGGGCGGTGAGGCTGGCCCAGCGCTGTGCAGCTCAGCGCAGCGACCCCCGCGCCCCTCTCCGGCAGCCGCGGCGCCTCAGTCCCGCTCCCGCCATGCCTGAACAACTCTGCGTCGCCGAGTTTCTGGCCGTCACCGCGGAGGACCTCAGCTCTCCGGCCGGGGCCGCCGCCTTCGCCGCCAAGATGCCTCGATACCGGGGGGCGGCGCTGGCGCGGGAGGAGGTGAGGGGGCCTCGGCGGGGGGGGGGCAGGTTCGCGTGGGGCCTGGCTTTGACCTCAGGAGTGACCGTGGCCGCGATGACCCTTCGCTGCGCCCCTGAAACCCGACCCCCACCTAGATCTGTGGGAACCCAGCGCATCTCAGACATCTGCGTACTTTTATGGTCGAAGCCTGGGAGGGCCCCGAGGGGCTGTTTGTGGGGGGCCTCGAGGTCACCTCGATGACAGGCTGCACATGTCAGGGCACATCCCCCCAGTGTTTTGGGCGATCTGCCCTGTCATATGTGTTTGCTTGTGACTTAACAGTTCTGTTTGTATATTCATCTGGGGGGGGTCCCCACAGTGCGCCCCTCTCCATATCACTCCCCTCTGAGAAGCAGGTCAAGTTCCGAACTTACTTCTCCCAGGCTGCGGGGAGGCCCCCTCCCCCTTGCCGCTGGTTCTGAGACTTGGCTCGCCTTGTGGAATGAATGTGAAGTGGGAAGGCGCCAGGAGCCGGGGTTCACCTTGGCTGGGCTCTTGGCAAGTTTATAGGCTCCTCTCCCCTCCCCTCTCTCTTTGTGTTTCCCAGCAAAGCTTCCCAGACTTTTCTTTCTCGCCCTAGCAGGCTGCCCCACCCATTCCCAGGCTCTCTTGTTGCAGTTCATTCTTTTTCTCAGAACTTGCTGCAGCTTTCCCTAGCTCCCCTGCAGGGAATGTTATGGGGTAGACACCTCTGGCTTTGAGCCAACGGAGAATCATATAATTGTGCATCTTCCTTCAAGATGCCCAGAATTCGGGTGAGGTTGTACACTTTAGCAGCTCTAGCCTCCTAGTCTTCACCACAAAAGCTGATCACCTATTAAGTGCAGTGGCAGATAGCATAGTTGCTGTCTGGTGGCTCCTGGCTTCTCAGAAGGCTGAGATCTGAGGATCTGTCTGGATTCGAAGCTAGCTAAAGCAGAAAAAGCTATGAGACTAGTATCTCCAGCTAACTAGCAAAAAGCCAGAAATGGAGGTGTGGCTCAAGTGGTAGAGTGCCAGCCTTCAGCAAAATAGCCAAGCAAGAGTGCAAGCTCCAGTACACACACACACACACACACACACAGTTACCATCTTCAGAGACAGTGTCTTAAGAAGTGTGTCCTCCTCTCCCCTGCTAGCCTGACCTCCAGTTCCCCTTTGTAAAAAGATAGTAGAGGATTTTACATGGAGCTGGGGTTTTAGGAAGGCAGACCTCCTGTGTTCAGAGCCTGGCTCTGCAATTTGCTAACTGGATGAGCTTGGCCACACGACCTGGTTTGTCATCTATGAAATGGGGGCAGTAATGTTTACCTCACAGAGCTATGGCATCACATGAAGCAATGGTGCCAAGCATGCATCTGGATAAATGGAATGAATATCAGGTTAATTGATAGACCTCTTCAGTTTTTACTTTTGCAGTCCTAAGGTTTGAACTCAAGGCCTTGGGCCTGGTAGGCAAATGTTCTACCACTTACCTTTTTCAGGTGGAATCTCATGTTTTGTGTTTCTTTTCTTTTTTTTTGGTTGATCATGGGGCTTAAACTCTGGGCCTGAGCTCTTCAGCTCAAGGGGAGCACTCTACCACTTGAGCCACAGCACCATCTGTGGTTTTCTGTTGGTTTATCTCCAATAAACCAACAGCCTTTCCTGCCTAGGCTGGCTTTGAAACTTGATCCTCAGATCTCAGCCTCCTGAGTAGCTAGGATTACAAGTGTGAGCCACCAGTGCTGGGCTTGTTTTTGTTTTTTAAACTGAGCAGGTACCAGGCTTAGATGCTTGTACCTATGACCTCCAGCTGATACCACAGGTGTGTGCCCTGTAGTGCCTAGTTGATTGATTGAGATTAGGGTCTCGATAGCTTTTTCCTAAGCTGGTCTCCAACAACATTTCCCAGTCTCTGCCTCTCAGGTAATTGGGATTACAGGTATGAGCTACTACATTCGGCAGAAAGACCTCTTTAGACAGTGACTAGGTCTCTTGGGGATTCATTTCTCTAGTTCACAATAGTGTATGTTTTAATGGAAATAAGCCAGTGGGACCGGGAGTCCTTCCTGGAACAGAACCAATTGTTTGGAGGTGAACGTGGATATTTCCCCAGGAGGTTTGCAGGGAAATGCCACCTCTCAGCCTCATCCTCAGGACAGCTTCCTGCAGATTTTCTTCATAACCTTGAATTTCATGACTCAGAAGGGCTTAGTACTATGGGCATCCATCCCTAGGGTCTTTGCCGCTCACTTTCTTTTCTAGGTTGCTCATTAGATCACTAAGGCAGAGCTGAGGGGTCGCAATTTGAATCCTCCTCTGTGGAGAGAAAGGTCTGTTTGTGTCTGTGCACAGGCTCTGCCCGGCTTTGTGTGTGTAAGCACTTTGTGTTGGGGGAAGGGCCCTTAGTAGTCTCAGGCCAGGGTTCACATTTGCCCAGTTCATGCCAGACAAAACGGAGCCTCCTTTGCTTCCAGATCTGTGGTTGGTGCACAGGCAAGGTTCATTTTTGCAACATGAAAGGCTTGGGGCGGGGTGAGGGGAGGGGGGTAACACAGCTTTCCCCCCTCAACATTTTGGTGCCCTAGAAGTTAAGGATTTGACCTTTGGATTAGATTTTTCTCGGGTTTCTTGGGTTTGTATGTTGTTATTATATTGTGCGCATGTGTAGTGTAATGTTGCGACTTTTTTCCCTCCCCAATTCTTTCTGGGCATGGCTAACCCACCCCCAGGCTTGAAGTTCCATGTGATTGAACCAAAATGCAGTGATTCTTGAATCAATTCTTCTGTTTCTGGCTGGTTTCTTGAAGTAACTAGGGACCTTGTTTTAGAACTTATAGCCTTTTTAGTTTTTTCCTTTTCTTTCTTTCTTTGTAAAAATTTTTTTGGGAACACTAGGGAGTCAAACTCAGGGCTTTTTACTTGCTAGGCAAGTGTTCTTATTGCGTGAGCCATATGTCCAACCTTTTTGCTCTGGTTATTTTTCAGATAGGGTCTCTTTTTGGCTCTTCAGCTCAAGGCTAGCGCTCTACCACTTGAGCCACAGTGCCACCTCCAGCTTTTTCCTTTTTGCTTATGTGGTGCTGAGGAATCGAACCCAGGGCCTCATGCATGCAAGGCAAGCGCTCTACCACTGAGCCACCTTCCCAGCCCTGGACCATGGCATTCTGTTTTATATTTCCTGCTGCAGCTGGGATGACAGGCAAGTACCACCTTGCATAGCTTTTATTGTTTTGGTCATAGGGTTTGAACTCCAGCCTGGGCTCTGTCTCTGAGTTCCTTTAGCTCAAGGCTAGTGCTCTGCCACTTCAAGCCACAGAACCACTTCCGTTTTTCTGGTGTTTAATTGGAGGTAAGAGTCTCAGAGACTTTCCGGCCTGGGCTGGCTTCAAACTGTGATCCGTAGATCTCAGCCTCCTGAATAACCGGGATCACAGGTGTGAACCACCAGTGCCCAGCTTCTTGCATAACTTTTAATGTTGAGATGGGGGTCTTGTAAAGTTTTTGTTTTTCCTCTAGACTGGCCTGAGTGGTGGATCTTAGACTCTTGAGTAGCTAAGACGACAGGTACATACCACTGTGCCCAGCAACTGGTTCGGATGAAGTCCTTTGAACTTTTTGCCTAGGTCTGCCTTGAGCCTTCTGATCTTTACCTCTCATGTAGCTGAGATTACAGATGTAAGCCACCAGGTGCCCAGCAAGACTTGTGAACTTTTTGGTAGCCCTATAAGGACCCTGACTATGTTCCAGGAAACTAGAATGTCTAGATAAGGAACCCCTTAAAATAACTTCTTTAAGGTAATCCTAAGATAACTTTATTTATTTATTTATTGGTCAGTCCTGGGGCCTGAACTCTGGGCCTGGGTGCTGTCCCTCAGTTCTTCAGCTCAAGGCTAGCACTCTACCACTTGAGCCACAGCCTCACTTCTGTGTTTTTCTGCTTATGTGATGCAGAGGAGTTGAATCCAGGGCTTCATGTATGCAAGGCAAGCACTCTACCAATCAGCCACCTTCCCAGCCCAAATGGAGAAACTAATGTCCAGAGAGGACAACAGACTTTCCATTGGGGGAGTGGCATTTTCTTCCAGTGTTCCAGGGTCCTGTTATCTTTCCAAGTTCATCTATCTGTCTTTTTTTTTTTTTTTTTTTTTTGGGTCCGGTCTTGGGGCCTGAACTCTGGGCCTGGGCGCTGTCCCTCAGCTCTTCAGCTGAAGGCTAGTGCCCTACCACTTGAGCCACAGCGCCACTTCCGGCTTTTTTCTTTTTGCTTATGTGGTGCTGAGGAATCGAACCCAGGGCCTCAGGCATGCAAGGCAAGCGCTCTACCACTGAGCCACCTTCCCAGCCCCATGTATGGAGGTTTTAAGATAATCATCAGACCATCTTCCTCCTGTCCTGGGCTCCTTTACAGCTGTCATCCCATAGATATTCACAATGACATCGATGAAAACTGGCCCAGAGAGGTTAAGGTACTCGTTCTATGTCATCACACAACAGGGTCTCTCTGATTCCTGTGCTCTGGCCAGTTTTCCATGCCATCTCTGTCCTAGGCACCAAGGACATAAAGATGCTGCTTTGGAGGGTTGATTGGTTGGGAAGTGCTGACCACCCTAACGAGGTAAATAGGAGTGCCAAGACCTGTCCTGCCTGCCTGGTAAAGGAACCATCAGTGTGATAGGAGAGAAACAGAGCAGGCAAGGGGGAGACCCAGTGAGGATCAGTGCAACTAGAGAGGGCTTCCTGGAGGAAGCAACACTTGTGGGAGGACAGATGATCCTCACTTAGTGGAGAACCCAAGCGAATGAATGCGGGGACTATGGGAAGAGAGCTCATCAGGAAACCCAGTAAGCCCATTTGACATATGTTCTCCTAGAAGTAATTGCTGTGGGCATGCACATATTTATAACCTATGACCCCAGACAGAGAAGTCAGGGATGGGGGACGTTTCCTACATTGGTAACATGTCTTACCAATGCACACATTTTAACTTTGGATGGAGACAAATTTATCTTTTTTTT